GATGGTTTTCTCTCTCTGTATCAAGAACGAGGTGTAATTTTGGCTCCTGGCTCTGGCCTGGCCCTGCCCTGCCTGCTGTGGGCATTTTGGGAGTCAATCAGCAGGTGCAAGGCTGTCTCTCTCTCCTCCCCGTGTCTCCCTCCCTCTGTGTAACTCTGCTTGTCAAATAAATAAATAAACGAATCCTGAAGAGAGATACAGACATCAACTGCATTTTAAAAATCTTGGGTGAGGGCCGGTGCTGTGGCGGAGCGGGTAAAGCCGCCACCTGCAGTCCGGCATCCCACGTGGGCGCCAGTTCAAGTCCCAGCTGCTCCACGTCCGATCCAGCTCTCTACTGGGCCTGGGAAAGCAGTGGATGATGGTCAAGTCCTTGGGCCCCTGCACCCACCCACGTGGGAGACCTGGAAGAAGCTCCTGGCTCCTGGCTTTGATTCGGCGCAGCTCCGGCCGAAGTGGCCAATTGGGGAGTGAAGCAGCAGATGGAAGACCTCTCTCTCTCTCTCTCTCTCTCTCTGCCTCGGCCTCTCCTTCTCTGTGTAACTCCAACTTTCAAATAAATAAATAAATCTTTAAAAAAATCCGAGGTGTTCTGCCACATCGGTCCTGCGGTTTTCTCTCTGGGCCCCTTTCTCGGCCCCGTCACCTCCTAGGCTCGGCTGAGGAGCACGGACGCCCTGCGCCACCTGGATTTGCTGCAGAGGTGAAGGGCGCCCGCCAGCCGCTGGGAAGACAGCCTGCCCTGGAGAGACACAGCACAGCCACTCCTGATCTCGCGAGGCGATGACATCAACCAGCCTGGTGCTCAAGGCATCGGTCGGATGTGTCTGCTTGTGTTCCTGCAGGTGCGTGCTCATGTGTGTACCTATGTGCAGGTGTGTGCTCATGTGTGTATCGTGTGCAGGTGTGTGCTCATGTGTGTATCGTGTGCAGGTGTGTAGGTGTGTGCTTGTGTGTGTGTGCAGATGTGTAGGTGTGTGCTCATGTGTGTATCATGTGAAGGTGTGTGCTCATGTGTGTACATATGTGCAGATGTGTGCTCATGTGTGTATCGTGTGCAGATGTGTAGGTGTGTGCTTGTGTGTGTGTGCAGGTGTATACTCATGTGTGTATGTGTGTGTGCAGGCGTGTGCTCATGTGTGCAGGTGTGTGCTTGTGTGTGGGTGTGTGCAGGTGTATACTCATGTGTGTATGTGTGTGTGCAGGCATGTGCTCATGTGTGGAGGTGTGTATGTGTGTGCTTGTGTGTGTGGGTGTGCTCATGTGTGTACATGTGTGTGCTCGTGTGTGAACATATGTTCAGGTGTGTGCTCATGTGTGTATCGTGTGCAGGTGTGTAGGTGTGTGCTTGCGTGTGCGTGTGTGCAGGTGTATACTCATGTGTGTGTGTGAGCTTGTGTGTGCAGGTGTATACTCATGTGTGTGCATGTGTGTGCAGCTGTGTGCTCATGTGTGTACATATGTGCAGGTGTGTGCTCATGTGTGTATCGTATGCAGGTGTGTAGGTGTGTATGTGTGTGTGCGTGTGGGCAGGTGTATACTCATGTGTGTATGTGTGTGAGTTTGTGTGTGCAGGTGTATACTCATGTGTGTGCAGGCGTGTGCTCATGTGTGCAGGTGTGCTTGTGTGTATGGGTGTGTGCAGGTGTATACTCATGTGTGTACATGTGTGTGCAGGCATGTGCTCATGTGTGTACATGTGTGTGCGGGTGCGTGGTTCTCTGGAGCCAGGCGTCCCTGACGGGGCAGCTGACAATGCTGCTGCTGTGTTTACCGCCCCTTCGCCACTCAGCAGGAGGCTGTGCGTCCTGGGGGCTGTGTCTCTGTGTGGTTTTGTGGGTTTTTTTTAAATATAAACAAGAAGTCAGACACATCTGACATGTTGCTTCACTTACATTTTGATTTTGTTTTTTTTCTTAAATGGCTATGAAAAGCTGATATTCTGAGAACTCCCATTTTAGCAAAATCAATACAACCTACGTTTCTCCTAACTATAAATTACATTGACTTGATTCTTATTGAATTAATTCCTCATTAAACCCTTACGATTAAGTATGCTTGAAAATCAGCGCCAGCGTAGGGGAAGGCAGAACCACGAAAACAAACCGAGAGACTGTTGCTTTGTGGTGTTTTGTGAAATCTGTTTCATATTGTTCATGGAAAAAGGTCTCTGCAGTTCCAGAAACCAGACATGCCTGTGGGCGCCCGGAGCAGCCTGCCTGGGCTGTGCAGTCACCCAGTGGCCGCGGGCCCGCGGCCAGGAAAACCCTGGGGCAGGAGCTGAGCTGATCCCGTCCGCGGTCACAGCCGAGCCCGAGGGAGGACTCCCCACCGGGGCTGTGAGGCGCCCTCGGCCCCCAGACCCCTTCTTCCAGCAGTCAGCAACCTGAGCAGGGGCAGCCGCCGGGCGCAGCCCTGGGCTGGGGAGGCCCCGCAGCCCCAAAGCCAGAGGCGGCGTCCGCCAGCTGCGTCTCCGCTCACAGCCGCTCCCCCCCACCCCGGGTCCTGCTCCCTGGTTCTCATCCCACAGGCTCAGGCCTTCTGCTCAGGACTCACCGATCCCTCTGCCTCGGCCGGAGGGTGGTCAGTGTCCGGCGTCCCTGGAAGTCCTCCCTGGCTGGCCCCTGTGTCAGTTTGGTTTGGTTTCCTATCTGTGCTCACCACGGGTCGGGAGGCCCGCGCTCTGTGCGTGAGGGCTGCCCTGGAGACCTGGGGGGCATCGCCCCCCTGTGTTCCTGGGTCGTGGGTTGCAGTCTCCAAGTGCTGGCTGCTGGGCTCTGCCCCCTCCCAGCGGCACACAGGGACCCCACTGCTGATCACCCAGGAAGGAGGCTGGGTCTCCACTCTCAACTTCAGACACCTGGAGGCAGCCGCCACGTGTGGCCGCTCTGAGTGCACAGGGCTGGGGAGAGCGGGCGGCCGCAGAGAGTGGCCTGGTCTCCACCACGAGCACCGTCTAGACAAAGCCTGGATGGGGGCCCGGCGCACAGGCTCCTTACGGAGTCCAGCACTCCTGTCTGCGCCGGCTCAGGCTGTCAGGCCCCTGGGCAGCGGAGGCGGACACAGCAGGGGACGGGTAACACTTGAGTAGAGCTAGCGACTCTACTGGGAGGGCGACCCCATCAGTGTCACACCCCCGAGTGCCGCCTGTCGATGTGCTTGTGGGCCGCAGGTGTTAAATGGGCTGAGTGTGTGTCCACGCACAGCCGTCAGGATCGTGTCACGGTGTGCATTCGGGAGCAACCAGCCCCAGGCAGGCAAGGAGGCTCAAGAACGCATTGCACGGTACAATGGCCGCCTGTCTCTCTCCTCCCAGGGATGCCACTCTCCCTGGCTTTGAAACGCGGCATTTTCTTCTCCAGTGTCCACCTCTGTGGTCACCCCCAACCTTGCACACATGGCTTCAGCTTTCGCTGTCAGTATTTTGAAGCGGGCACCATAACTCTGAAAGATGTGAGCCATGTCACATGTGGGGCTCTCTGGGCCACTTCACACTCGGGGTCTGGGCCACTTCACACTCGGGGTCTGGGCCACTTCACACTCGGGGTCTGGGCCACTTCACATCCGGGGTGTGAGCCACTTCACGCTTCTGGTTGTTGGTTGCTTCCTCACACATCAGCCATGATCAGGAGCTCTAAGAGTGGCACGGAGCCCCTGTGCCTGTGTGTCCTGCCCCATAGGTGTCCCCATGGCTGTCTCCTCCTGCCTCCGTGTCAGGTGCAGTCGCAGGGGCTGCTCACTCGGGCAGCACCAATGCAGCCTGGCCGAAAGGTCTGAGGGCAGGGACAGAGCACGGCCTTAGTGGCTCCCTTTCACCTCTCACATGCCCTCTGTGTCAGGAGGAGGGGGCGTGAGGGGCATCAGGCCCAGAGCCTGTGTTAGGGGAGGGGGGTCAGTGGGGTCAGGCCCAGAGCCTGTGTTGGGGGGGGTCAGTGGGGTCAGGCCCAGAGCCTGTGTTGGGGGGGGTCAGTGGGGTCAGGCCCAGAGCCTGTGTTGGGGGGGGGGTCAGTGGGGTCAGGCCCAGAGCCTGTGTTAGGGGAGGAGGGTGAGGGGCATCAGGCACAGAGCCTGTGTTAGGGGAGGGGGGTGAGGGGCATCAGGTGCAGAGCCTGTGTTGGGGGGGGTCAGCGGCATCAGGCGCAGAGCCTGTGTTAGGGGAGGGAGGCCAGCGGCATCAGGCCCCCGCTGTGAGGCGTGGGCATCCCAGCCGCACGGCAGTCTCTGTGCCAGATGGTGCCCCTCTTCCCTCTTTGTCCGCCTGCGCTGGTGCAGTCAAGGGAGCCCTCCGAGAGAAGGTGCGCTCGGTCTCCTGCTGTCCGTGTTCGCTCCGACGTTTCATCGGCAAGCTGCTCGGGAGGCTCCTCCGTGCGGTTGCCCTGGTGACCGATGTCTTGACCCCGGGTCCTTGCTGCACTGTTTCTTCACCCCCGGCCAAAGCCCGCCTCTCATCAGCCTTCAGGTGGGTGCGCCCGGGCTCTGCCAGCCGGAGCTGGGTGCACGCTGACCCTGCGCCGGGCGCTCACCCTGCTCCCAGGAAACGGGATGCCTTGGAGGGACGCGGGCGGTGGCAGCAATGCCATGGAGGCGGCGCTCGCTGGAAGGAGCTGGGGTGGAAAGCAGAGCAGGGTTTCTGGTCCGACCAACACACAGGAGCACCTGGGAGACAGGGAACGGGTGACTGTGGGGCAGCCTGGCCCGCAGACCTATGCTCTGAAGAGCGTTCTCAGGCAGCCCAGGTTCAGGTGCAGGGAGCGGTGGAGCTGCAGAAGTGAGGGGACGGGAGAGGACCCTGTTCCCGAGGCAGGGCTGCACCATGGCCGACTCCAGGACCTGCAATTTAGGCGAGAGGACGAGGATGGAGTGGGCTCACCCCCTCAGAGCCCCCACACCACAGGACGCAAGGGCAGTGGGATTACAGGCGCACCCAGGCCCCTTCCGGACCGTGCACACGCAGAGGGAAGGCCACGGCTGGGGCAGCGGCCGCCCGGCCCACGGGGCCCCTCCCTCCACACGGCAGCTGGCTTCTCAGGGCGGCAGACACCCTCGCGCCTCGCCAGGATCTGCACTTTGAACTGAGCTGTTGTACCGGAGATGTTTCTTCAAGGCAAAGCCACAAGTGCTTGACTTCAGCACAAAAATAGCGTTTGCAGTATTGGCCGAGTTCTCCTGCAGATGTAATTATGGTTTCTGCACTCAGGTGAGTGTACAATTTCTTTCTTTTTTGCTTAGTGTTGACTGTTACATTTCAAGCAAACTCGTCCTCCGTGAAGCCATGGCTGTGTCAAAGCCCTCAATGCAGCGTGCTCCGTCGGCGCTCCTGCGGAGGAGACTGCGGGGAGGCACGGGGCGCGGCGGCCAAGCTGCATCCATCAATCACTGTCAGCGACACGGGCTGCCAGGGCTGCCGGGCCGGGGTAGCAGGGAGGAACCACGAGGAGGGAGGTGGGGCCCAGGGAGGCCGGCACCCTGAGGGCAAAGGGCACAGCAGTGAGCTTTTGAAAAGGAATGAAAGAATGGGGGTGGCCCTGTGGCGCAGCAGGTTAACGCCCTGGCCTGAAGCCGCTGCCTGCAGTGTTGGCATCACATACGAACACCGGTTCCAGTCCCGGCTACTCCACTTCCCATCCAGCTCTCTGCTGTGGCCTGGGAAAGCAGTGGAAGATGGCCCAAGTGCTTGGGCCCCCACACCCACGTGGGAGACCTGGAAGAAGCTCCTGGCTCCTGGCTTCAGATCAGCACAGCTCTGGCCGTTGCGGCCATCTGGGGAGTGAACCAGTGGGTGGAAGACCTCTCTCTGTCTCTGCATCTCTCTGTAGCTCTGCCTTAAACAGATAAAATTAATCTTTAAAAAAGAAAAAGAATCTGTGAGGCTGAGGGGAGGTGAGGACCAGGGCTGAGGTGAGGACCAGGGCTGAGGGGGAGGTGAGGACCAGAGCTGAGGGGAGGTGGGGACCAGGTTGAGGGGGAGGTGAGGACCAGGGCTGAGGGGGAGGTGAGGACCAGAGCTGAGGTGGGGACCAGACTGAGGGGAGGTGAGGACCAGGGCTGAGGTGAGGACCAGAGCTGAGGGGAGGTGAGGACCAGAGCTGAGGGGAGGTGAGGACCAGGGCTGAGGTGGAGGTGAGGACCAGGGCTGAGGTGGGGTGAGGTGAGGACCAGGGCTGAGGTGAGGACCAGAGGGGAGGTGAGGACCAGGGCTGGGGTGAGGACCAGGCTGAGGTGAGGACCAGGGCTGGGGTGAGGACCAGGGCTGGGGTGAGGACCAGGCTGAGGTGAGGACCAGGGCTGGGGTGAGGACCAGGGCTGAGGGGAGGTGAGGACCAGGGCTGAGGGGAGGACCAGGCTGAGGTGAGGACCAGGGCTGGGGTGAGGACCAGGCTGAGGTGAGGACCAGGGCTGAGGTGGAGGTGAGGACCAGGGCTGAGGGGGAGGTGAGGACCAGGGCTGAGGTGGGGTGAGGGGAGGACCGGGGGGAGGTGAGGCAAAAGGGCTGAGGGGAGGTGAGGACCAGGGCTGGGGTGTAGTTCTAGGTCTGACTCAGAGGCAGTGAGAGGAGTTGAGTATCTGTCACCCTGACGTTCCCTGCTGTCTCCCAGGGTAGGCAGCAGCAGGAGGCTGGAACGGAAGTGGAGCTGGGGCCTGACATGCGACGTGGGCCTGACATGGACGTGGGCCTGACGTGGTGCGTGGACCTGATGTGGACGTGGGCCTGATGTGGGACGTGGGCACACCGAGCTCCGTCTTATTCTCTGTGCTGAACACCCTCCTCATCTCTGTGTCTATTAACTGTTTCCATCTTCTATCAACAAAGGTCCTTGTAATTGCTACAGTTGTGTCTTTCTCTTTGGGCCACCCAATAAATTAGCTTTAAGATGACTTTACCTCCATTTAAAAAGATTTATTGGGGCCTGTGCTGTGGCACAGCGGTTTAAAGCCCTGGCCTGAAATGCTGGCATCCCATATGGGGGCTGGTTCTAGTCCCGGCTGCTCCTCTTCCCATCCAGTTCTCTGCTGTGGCCTGGGAAAGCAGCGGACAATGGCCCAAGTCCTTGGGCCCCTGCACCCGCGTGGGAGACCTGGAAGAAGCTCCTGGCTCCTGGCTTTGGATCAGCACAGCTCCAGCCATCGCCGCCATCTGAGGAGTGAACCAGCGGATGGAAGACCTCTCTCTCTCTCTCTCTCTCTCTCTGCCTCTCCTCTCTCTGTGTAACTCTTTCAAATAAATAAATAAACCTTTTAAAAAAAAGGTATTCAGTTACTGCCATTCATGGCTTTCTGGAACTTGCACAGACACGGCTCATCCGGGTCCCCTGGGGCCCTTGGTGTGGGTGGAGCAGAGCCCAGGGCCCTTGGTGTGGACGGAGCGGAGCCCAGGGCCCTTGGTGTGGACGGAGCAGAGCCCAGCGCCCTGGGCCTGGGATTTGCCCCCTTGCTGCCCACAGAGCGGTTGATGGCCTGAGCCTGTGCTCCAGGTGTGAAAACAGGTCCTCGACCGTTCACAGCCTGGGGGCTGCCTGCGCTTTTGCTCCAGACCTGTGGACCCCTAAGTGGAAACCTCGAGCCGACCCCGCCTGGAGCCCAGAAGGACAGAGCCCTGGGGTGGCGTGTGGGAGGGACGTGCGTGTTTGCTAGAAGCATGGGAGGAAGAAGCAGTGCTGGGAGCCAAGCCTGCGTCTGGGTGGAGCATCCACGCACCCCACCTTCTCAGGGATCTCGGGGAGCCCTGGGCCTCCTGAGCCTGCACCTGCTGTGGGCGCCCCAGCGACCCTGGAGTCCTGGCTGGGAACGAGCTGTTTCAGGCAGCTCAGATGTGAGAACAAAGGGCGGCCGGAGGAGCAGCCGTGTTGAAACCAGCTGCGTGTCCTGAGCGTTTTCTCTTTCCAAGCCTGTGGACGTGTTGTTTTGAAACTTCCTTTTCAGTAAGTTTGGCATGGCATTTTGTAGCACTGACATTTAAAAAATATCTCCCAGCTACGGATTCAGATGTTATTAAAAGCAGAAGCTGCGGGCTGCACAGCTGTGCCTAATGAGAGCGGGTTCCATGGTACTATTTAAAGAGCCAGCTATGCGCCTGCGGACAGGGACCCCACCACACCCTGGCTGCTGCTTGTGCTGATGTGGACTAAAATCGGCCTCCAAACCTTGGTGGTGATGGTTAGCGACACTGAAGCAAAACAGAAGGAACTGTAAAAAGTGAATTTACGGGGCTAGGCCAGCTGTCTGATTGCCCCGTGCTGTGCTGTGCCACCCGCAGACGCCAGGAGCCCGCGTCCCGCCGAGATTTCTACCTCGTCAGAGCGGAAGCTGAGAGCGTGGCGACTGAGGCCACGCAGGGCACACGTGTGGCCAGGACACGTTGTGGCTAAAAGTGAGGAGGCTCTGTCCACGTCCGGCCGGCAGGTCTGGAGGAAGCGCGGGTGGGAAGGGCGGCCTTGAGCGCCTGAGCCCTTTAGTCGCCCGCACTGGGAAGGGCAGGGGCCTCGCGGAGCGCACAGAGCGAGGCCCCCCGACCCCGGCAGCGCGGGGTCGCTGCTCTCCTGCACAGGCCAGCGCCCGGGGCCAGCTGGGTCGCATGCACAGGGACTCTGCCGTCTTCCCAAGCATCAGCCGATCAGATCCTGTGTTTGCCAGGTCAAGGAAAAAATAACAGCATTATCTTCACTGATGTGGGCAGAGACAAAACATCAGTAAACACTATTTACACTTGAGAGTGCTGAGTCCTGGCATAGAATCACTCAATTAACCAAGCTACTCATTGATCTCTCTACAGGGATGAGAGGGAAACATCTGGATCTTTTTTTAAGATTTTATTTTTTTATTTGAGAGGTAGAGTTACAGACAGTGAGAGGGAGAGAGAGAGAGAGAGAGAGAGAGGTCTTCCATCCACTGGTTCACTCCCCAAATGGCCGCAATGGCCAGAGCTGTGCTGATTTGGAGCCAGGAGCCAGGAGCTTCTTCTGGGTCTCCCACGTGGGTGCAGGGGCCCAAGGACTTGGGCCATCTTCCACTGCTTTCCCGGGCCACAGCAGAGAGCTGGATTGGAAGAGGAGCAGCCAGGACTAGAACTGACGCCCATTTGGGATGCTGGCGCTGCAGGCGGGGGTTAACCTACTGCGCCACAGCGCCGGCCCTGCCACTGGATCTTAATTCGTTGGCTCAGCTGTGAGTAGCTTTTCCAGCCCAGTGGGTGTCATTTCAGTTTCTCCCACCAGCTCCATTAGCTCCGTATCCTCATATAGGCTATAAAACCTGGTGACAAGTGACTAGTGCAGAGGCCACTTCACGATGTCTTTGCTTTGCATTTTGACTTAGCCAAATAGGTAAAAATACGTGAGCGCCCGTTGCCACTGGGGGGAAGACGCGTGAAGTCACTCCTGGGACCCGCGTGTAGAATTTTCCGGCAGAGCTCGCGATGGGAGCGCCCTCTGTCGGGCGGACTTTATCCTTGTCCTGCTGTGCTGGGCCTCGCTTTGCCTTCCATTTCAGTTCAGGAAGAAAAGCACACGCGGGAACCACACCCAGTAGATGCACGTAAACTGCAGGCCCCGACAGCTGCCCAGTGCCTGGGAGTCGAGGGAGGGTGAGGCCGAGGCCCTGTCTCCACGGCCGGCGGCCGCAGCTGCTAGGAGGCAGCCCCTTGGGCCGGCTTGCTTTGCCAAGTGAGATTTGCGGATTGGTGGGGCAGGGCTTGCATTTGGCTACGGAAGAGTCCTCCTGAGGTCGAGCACATGGCCAGTGCGGCTTGCGGAGCTGGAGGCAGGGGGCGTTCCCGGGGGGAGGGGTCGGGGATGGAGATGGTGTTGGAGCAGGGCTGAGGCAGGAAGAGCTCCGTCGGCTTCTCCCCTGCCTTGCTTTCTGTGTCCCAGGAAGGCAGACCAGGCCCGGAAGAGGACGCTGCAGAAGGGAGGTCCCGGGGAGGAGCTGCGCCCCCAGGCCCTGCGTCCCAGAGCCCACGTCTAACCTGGGGCCCCTCCCCCCTCTGCCGTGCACCCCTGCACACACCGGACGCCACAGTGCCTGGCGCTACAGCAGGCTTCCGTCCTGCTCAGTGCGCGGCCCCTGCACCGGCTCCGTGTCTCGCTCACCACGTGCAGGGGAAGCTCCGTGCTCACTTGCACCCCAGCCCTGGCGTCAGCGCGCTCTGCGGGACAGACTGGCCGGGCCCGCGAGGAAGGACGGTCAGTGTGTTCTGGGACAGACTCGGGTGGACAGGCAGTGTGTTCCAGGACAGACTGGCCGGGCCCGCGAGGACGGATGGTCAGTGTGTTCCAGGACAGACTTGTTCAGCCCATAAGAGTGCAAAGAGCAACAGAGCAAGGCGCACTCACCTCCACCCTCACCTCCACCCTCACCCCCACCCTCACCCTCACCCTGACTACCACCTTCACCTCCACCCCCACTTCCACCCTCAACCCTCACCTCAACCCTCACCCCCACCCTCACCTCCACCCTCACCCCCACCCTCACCCCCACCCTCACCTCCACCCTCACTCCTCACCTCCACCCTCACCCCCACCCTCACCTCCTCCACCCTCACCTCCACCCTCATCCTCACCTCCACCCTCACCTCCACCCTCACCCCCACCCTCACCTCCACCCTCACCCTCACCCCCACCCTCACCTCCACCCTCACCCTCACCCCCACCCTCACCTCCACCCTCACCCCCACCCTCACCCTCACCCTCACCCCCACCCTCACCCTCACCTCCACCCTCACCCCCACCCTCACCCCACCCTCACCTCCACCCTCACCCTCACCTCCACCCTCACCTCCACCCTCACCCCCACCCTCACCTCCACCCTCACCCTCACCCCTCCTCACCTCCACCCTCACCCCCACCCTCACCCCCACCCTCACCTCCACCCTCACCCTCACCTCCACCCTCACCCCCACCCTCACCCCACCCTCACCCCACCCTCACCCCCACCCTCACCCCCACCCTCACCCCCACCCTCACCCCCACCTCCACCCTCACCTCCACCCTCACTGTGGGGAGCAATCCGGACTAGACTAAGTTACTCGAATTAGGACTTATTCTATGCATCTGCTCTCCTCTGTGGGGAGCAGCTCGGACTAGACTAAGTTACTGGAATTAAGACTTATTCTATGCATCTGCTCTCCTACAATATGGCGCTGGGAGAGGAGAAAACAGCTTCTACCCAGCTGCCTCCAGTTCAACCAATAAACTGTAGGACTTGCTCCTGATTGGAGAGCAGCGTACTCGGCGTGTGGGCAGCCGAGTTAGGATTGGCGGAGGAGGACTATAAAGGAGGAGAGAGACGGCATGCACCAGGAACATCTATGGGGAACATCTAGCTGAAGGAACACCTGTGCAGCCCCCGAGAGACCCGGCCGGCGGTGTGCCGCTCCCCTGCGGAAGTGGGGAAAGTGGCCAGGGGGAACTGCCCTTCCACGGAGGTGGAAGGGATAGTAGCCAACCCGGGAAGAACCAGCAGCAAACCCGGGGAGGGCCGAGCAGACGAAAGAACAGCGCAGGGTCCTGTGTTGCTCCTCCACGAAGACGGGGAGCGACATAATGGTGCTGTGACTCGGATATGAAGCCTAGGCAGGGCTTAGTGTCGTTCCTCCACGAAGAGGGGGAGCGACACCTCACCCCACCCTCACCCCCACCCTCACCTCCACCCTCACCTCACCCTCACCCTCACCCTCACCTCCACCCTCACCCCCACCCTCACCCCACCCTCACCCCACCCTCACCTCACACATTGCCACTTGTAACCTAGCCTGGGGCTCCTGTAGCTGAAAGCAACAGGGAAGAAACAACCCCCCGGAGCTCAGAGAAGGAGGGGCAGCTGGGTGTGCTCACCTCTCCAAGGAGACGTTGCAGCAGCAGCAGGACGTGCTGTGCCCAGTGTCCACGGCTTCCCGTGCCCAGGGCCTGCCAACGGGCTCTTCTGTGTGGCTGCTGGGCACAACCCCTCCCTGGGACACCCCCAGACCCCCCCGGGACACCCCCAGACCCCCTGGGACACCCCCAGACCCCTCCCTGGGACACCCCCAGACCCCCCTGGGACACCCCCAGACCCCTCCCTGGGACACCCCCAGACCTCCCTGGGACACCCCCAGACCCCTCCCTGGGACACCCCCAGACCCCTCCCTGGGACACCCCCAGACCCCCCTGGGACACCCCCAGACCCCTCCCTGGGACACCTCCAGACCCCCCCCCGGGACACTCAGCAGACCCCTCCCTGGGACACCCCCAGAC